AAGAAAGAAAGAAAGAGGGAGAGAGAGAGAGGGAGAGAGAGAGAGACATAAATCCTCCTAAATCCTCTCAGTATTCCACTGGTTCTAAGAATCAGAGGAACAGGAAGCAAAAGATTGAGACAAACAGCCAAACTGAGAGGGGAAGGAAAGCCGGGAATATAGTGAAAGAGTTAAGAAAAAAGGTGATGGGGAGAAATAATGACAAACATTCAAGTGTGGGACATGGAGACCTTACACACAATTGACTGGTTAATGTGTGTGTGTCGGGCTGACCTGGGAAATGTGATAGTGGTATTCATCAGCTGCAAACAGACTCCTCTCAAAAGCCATTCAAGGTCATTTTGTGCTTCTAACAGTAAGGGTTGCTGTGACTTGTCAATGCTAATGTGTCAGTCTGCATGCGAGCATGTGATCCTGTACAGCACACGTAGAGAAGACATATTCTGTCAAACTTTCAGCTTACTCTGACCTGCTCAAACTGTCACATATAAACTGACAGAGATCACAGTGACCTGCTGGCAGCATAATGTATTTGACCAACTGAAATCAGTGAGACACACAGAGAAGAAGTAAAGCAAACCACCATCTTTAAGACCTTTCCTTTAAAGAAGAAGCTGAAAGAGGAGAGGACTCTTTGAAGTGAATGAAGGAGAATACACAGCTAGAACAATAATTTCAAAGAGGATAAGTTATAACAGTTGTAGTGCTCTTAATTATGCAACATGTTCTGGCACCAACCTGCTGAGGAAGCCTGGGAAGGACAGACGAACAGGGTATCCATAACGGATCATGCGCACCATCTCAAGCACCCCGATGTACTGCAGCTGGGTAGACACATGGAAGCTGTCAAAACTGTCTGGCTGACCACTGGCGTTGGGGCGCACACACTCCACAAAGTGTGGAGTGCAAGCCTGCAGCTTACTGATCACCTCCGACAGCGAGTTCTGAAACATGGAAAAAGAAAGGAGATACAGTCGAAGGCATTCACTGGTAATTTTACAATCCTAACAGAATGAACAACATGTTACTATTAACAACATTTATTAGTGTTTGAATTGTTCTTGTACAATAAGTACAATAGAAGGGAAGGAGGCTCTCTCTCTTTTCCCTTTTGATGTTTGATTTCTGAGCCACAGTGACTGGGAGTGAGATCACGTTGTGTTTGAAACAAAGTGGTCTAATTTTTTGGGGTGTGTTTTCCCTCTGGAGGAAACAAAAACACAAAGAGCTCTTTGCTCTTTCTAATGGTGTGTGAGTGTGAGACAGCTTTTCTTCAAGCCCTGAATTCACAGATGCTGCATCCAAGGTCACACAGACACACAAATACCCACACATTCACATACGCGTAAACACTAACATCTGTGTGTCTGTAACTCCTCAAACTGACGTCAGTCTATGCTCTGCATACCTATATGTATGATGATCAGCACCTCACCCCTCATCTTTGAACGTCACTACCAGCATTCACACTGCCGTTGTCCCTCCAAACATGCACGGCACACAGTGGTTGTTGTTCATTGTTCATTCATTCATGTGGAGGGCTTCATGCTTGGCACAGCATCATTCTTCAGCCCACTCTCTCCTTTCCTGCCATTCCCTGAGGGACTCGTCGACCACAAGCCCACAACTCTGATTGTGCAACACACTGGCTTCATTCAAACTAAAGGTACTGCTTCACTGGGCCACATTTCAGCCTCCTTGCGTCACCAGCAAACACTGAACTGTGTTCCTCTAACTGCCTGGATATTATTGTTTCTGTATATCGTTATGAAATCACGGTACCTCACTCTGAATGGGTCTTAAGGCTGCATTGTTGCAAAGGCTGTGTTTTGTGCATAGGTGAGAATAGTGTGTAGTGTTTTGAGGACTAGCGTGAGGGAATGGAGGAAGAGGATGCATAAACAGCGATTTCTTGAGATGAGGACTAAAGTCACACAAAATCTCAAGTTTCATTAACAAATCCCTGCAATAATTCGAAATCTGATCCAGATGTTCCCTCAATGTAGGGAACAGGTATTCAGTAAAAAAAAAAGTTAAAAATTAACTGACTGGTTTTGTCTTATTGGCATTTAAAACAGTAATTCAAACGTATATAATGACTTTACCCCCACAATTGAAGGCTGTTATGTATGTTATGTGATATGTATATGTGCTACAGTAGAGGCTTGTTGTGACAAACACAGCTTCAATGCTATGCAGTTGTAGCTTAATATTGTTGATTCCTATTTTTTACTCTTTTGCAGAAGGACTAAGAGTCTTCACTAAACGCCAAACTCCATTTTTAAAACTGCTGATTCAGTGCAAGGTCTCAATGAACTGAAGCCTGCCCCAGCATGCTTTGGGCAAAAGGCATTGTACACTGCGGGCTTAATGCTAACACATACAGTCAGACACTGTAAACACATTCATTCCTATGGACAATTTAGAGTCCAGTGATCTGACCAGCACAACTTTGGACTGTGGGAGGAAGTACATGAAAACTCGACATAGAAAAAATCCTACAACCAGCTGATTTGGACATTCTTGCTCTGAGCCACCAGTGCTAACCAATGAGTCAACATGCTCATTGATGACCGAGCATTTCTGATTCAGACGTGTGATCTTTTAGAATTCGGCCTGACCATGTCTTATAAACACTGCAAATGTGGGTGGGTGGGTGGACGGGAATGGTTCTTACCCTCAGCTGGACAGCCACTGTGATGGGCCCACAACGCTCTAGGCGTTGGAGGAAGGAGCTCGAGCCTTTCTTCTTCAAGATCTGACAATGGAAAGACATAATATAAAGAAATAAAATATGAAATAGCTTACTTTAAGTGGCCACTGAGGAATATGGAACGATTACAACATAATCACAACATATTAACATGAGATAAGACTGAGTGGTTTTTGACAAAAGATCAAAACATTACACTTAAAAATCCTTTTGTTTTTGGTCCTTTTACAATGCACACTTACCAGGCCCATTAGTCCATTTCTCTGTCACTCCTTATTATTCTGTTTCATATGTTTTACAGCTTCAGCCCATGGCATTTATTGTCTTATTTATTGTCTTACAGCATATTTATTGTCTTAGTACAGCAATATTACCTAATGTTACCGTATAAGGCTGTTGGGACAGATCAGTAAGATGAAAGAGGTCTTATGTAATCCTGTAGATGGCTAATGAGCCACAGAGACAGCAGGCAGAAGTCCCTATGAGGGTTTACACAACCAGCAAGACTTCAGTCACACATGTGCACCAGTATGATATGCTTTCCAAAACTTAAAAAAAAAAAAAATTGGAGACAAAGACACCGAGAGGGGGAGGATGTACTGAAAGAGAATGAGAATATATATACTATATCGTCTGTGATTTGTATTTTTATGATTGTGTGTCATGAGAAAAGCATATAATCACATGACTGTGTGTGCATGTGTATGCATGCTTGTGGAGTTTCTATCTCAAACAAATCCAATTCCCAGAGGTTTATATATAGCACTGTGGTGGGAAGTAGCTTAAATTAGACTGTTGTTTTCTTCCCAAAATACTATTTCTGTTTTTCCATTGATTGGCACAGCAGTCAGTTGCCCTGTTGGATTGTGTCGCTTTGTGACTGACTGTTACTTAAACTCATCAATTCCTATATTTCATTATCTAGGTTCAGAAGCTAGTATGAGCAATGCACCTTTTGTGCCAATGTTTGCCTCAAACATAATTATAAAAATACACAAAACTAAAAAGGCCTTCAATACCTCTCGATGCAAAGTGTATTTTGGAGTTGACCAGAGCTACAGTGCAGCAGCACATTTTTTTTTTTACATGTGTGGTTCATGTAAAGTCTGACACTAACCACTCAGTGAGCAGTGTACTGTACCTTGGTAAGGTCATGGTACCTCCTGGGCTGTTGGGGGACAGTGTTGGCAGTGACAAGGGAGGCTGATGGCATCCTGTGGAGCAACAGGGCAGCTTTAGGCCCCCTAAACCCGGCACGGCCCTGGACTGCTGGCAGCAGAGAACCAGTCTGAGTCAGCTTGGACTGGAAGAGCTGCTGTAGCAACACACTCTCACTGGCTGCAGGGCACAAAGCACATACACAGAGAGAGAGAGAGGGAGGAAAAGAAGCGTGAAAAGAAGCAACAGCATTGGTGGAAATAAGGGGGTGGAGGAGAATAAGGAGAGATGGTTGGTAAGTAAGGGGTGGAGGAGAATGAGGAGAGGTGGTTGGTAAGTAAGGGGTGGAGGAGAATGAGGAGAGGTGGTTGGTAAGTAAGTAAGTAAAAAAGAAAGAAACAAACAAACAAACAGTGGAAAGGATGTAAACAAGGAAGGAAATAAGCATCAGAGGACGAGGAGTGAGGGTGGGGAAGAGGAACAAAAGTTG